ATTTAAAAATGGTAATATTTTGGATTTAAAAATGGTAATATTTTGAATTTAAAAATGGTAATATTTTGAATTTAAAAATGGTAATATTTTGGATTTAAAAATGTTAATATTTTGAATTTAAAAATGGTATTTCTTTTTAAAAGAAATGATTATATTTTTGTTTGAGAAAACAGTTACATTTATTGGTCAAAATATGGTTATATTCTAAGTAAAAAAGTGGTCATATTTTAGTTTAGTTATTTTTTGGCCGGTTACATTTTTGTCAGTAATATTATTGGTAGTTCTATTATTGGCGTTATATTTTTCCAGTGTGGCCTTGCTTTATGGTTAGCTATAAAAGGTAATATATTATATGCATCAATATTTTCCGCAGATTCTTTGCTCATTTTCCTGAATGTAAACAATAGACAAGAGGGAAGAAAGGCATGGGAGGAGGAGGAGCAGGAGAAGGAGGGAGGGAGGGTGGGGTGGAAGGGACAAGCATAGCTGTAGGGGAAAACATGGAACCCATCAAATTATCATAGACATATTCTACTTTTTTAACATTAGTTTTGGCCTATATAATAGTAAAGAACAAGAAAATAAATCGAGAAAAAAATTCAAACCTTAACCCAGAAATTGGTTTACTCTAACCTAACCTTCAAAATTAAGATTACATCATATATTACTTTTATAGGAATATTTATTTGATGTAAATTAGACGTATGTATTGAATTTGCATGTGTGGGGGGGGGAATGAGCTAGACAATTTAAGCTAGTCTACTCAGTTTATAATCAAACAAATATTATTTAAAATATTTAATATTGTGAAGTTTACCTTGTATTTCTGTATTTTCCATCTTTATATCATCTTTATGTAGATTAACAGTACATGTATTATCTTCAGTAGAGGAGGGAAGGATTTCTTCCTTGAAGGAAATTGTTTCTTCTTTTATCTCAAAGTCTTCCATATTTAATTCTTCTTTAATAATCTCGGCCATTCTGTCTGAAAAATACATTCAGAGTAAAATAGAAAAATTTAGAAATTAAAAGATTTTTAAAGATTTTATTTAAATAATGGATTCTCTCAGATTTTTTCATGCAGCCCTGAATGAGAACTATTTCGTAATAAAAACAAAAACAGGAGAAAACAACAATTTCCTCTCATTTTTTCAAAACCTGTATTAGTCCCGCATTGGGTGTCAATAGTCATCTGTTGGGAAACTCAATTTTAGACTTTCAGAATACCTTTCACCCTGTCCTAATACAATTTCACCACCTTTCCTGCATTTTTCCCTTAAAAACGCCCTTGAAGCCTTCTTACTTCGTTCCTTGAAATTTTTCTCAGATTTGTTGCATACATATTACAGTTTAAGAATCAAAATCTAAAATATGTCAGCTAATTTTTTCCTGTATTTTCCGGAAATTTTTCAAAAACTTTTTCAGGTCCATGTGGGATGTCAGTAGTCATCAATTTTCGGTCGGGAACCTCGATTATAGACCCCCCCATACAACAACCCCTATTTCCCGCATTTTCCCCTACCAAAGTGACAATGAAGTCTTCTGAAAATTAAAATCAATAGTTTTGAACAAATTTATAAATGACATTGTAATTGACCAATTTCATATTTAGATATAAAAATATCCTTTGAAAACACAGATTACAGAAAATAAATAACAATCAGGTATTAAGCTAAATTTATAAAAGTGTGATTTTGTAAATTATTTTAAATTAAAGGGAGCATATAATAATTAGGTTAAAGGGTTACTCATAAAAGATAAAACTTCAGACTGTTTCCTTATATTCACGACTCCCTGCTAATGTAAACTTGTTTTTTTTTTTGCCAAATCATTAAATAACCCATTACAGCAGCAAACTTAATTTAACCTTAGTATCTTCATAATCATATTATTCTGAGTTTCAGGTCGTCTATGTAGTCTCATCTTTTGTGGGTAACCCTGTATTTGAGAATCTACGCAAGGTAATAAACAAAATCTAAGGAAAACATTAGATACTCCAGTTAGATTCAATTACAAAACAAACAAGCAATCAACCATCATTCTGTGGAACTAACTTTAAAAATATTCATGCTTAATCAAAACATAACACATCAGACAACATTTTACTTTCCACATGACTCTTCATATTCCAACAGATTCACATTCAGGGCAAGGCTATATCACTTCTTTGTGTTTATTTTTAACATGAATTTTCAGGTAACGTGCTGTAGTTGCAGCAAACTCACATTGGGGACAAGGATATCTTAATCCTTCGTGTATACTATCAACATGACTCTTTAAATGACTTGCTCTTCTTGCAACATACTCACATTGAGAACAAGGATATCTCACTCCTTCGTGTATACTTTCAACATGTCTCTTTACATGACTTGCTGTAGTTGCAGTAAACTCACATTGAGAACAAGGATATCTCACTCCTTCATGTTTATATTTAATATGACGTTCTAAGTTACTTGCTCTTGTTGCAACATAATCACATTGAGAACATTGATATCTCACTCCTTCGTGTGTACTTTCAACATGTCTCTTTAAATCACTTGCTGTAATTGAAGCAAACTCACATTGAGGACAAGGATATCTCACTCCTTCGTGTATAATTTCAACATGTCTCTTTACATGACTTGCTGTAGTTGCAGTAAACTCACATTGAGAACAAGGATATCTCACTCCTTCGTGTGTACTTTTAACATGTCTTTTATATTTACCCACATAAAATATATATAACCACTAAAAATATAACTGAAAAAAATAAAATCTGCCAATAATATAACGATCCAAAAACATAATAATTTTCGACCAAAATTATAATAATTTTCGATTANGTACCTTTCACGGTAAAACCATTGACATGGCGAGAGAGCCAATTGAAAGATTGTCAAAAAGTATGAGGTTAAAAAATCCATCTATTCCCACAGACATTATCAACCTTTTTGTAAAAATACGTTTTTTCCAAAGAATAAGGCATCTAAATGTAAGCAAACAAGGTCATCACATGATCCGAAATTTGAAACAAAAAGGCCAATTTATGTTTTAATAAACAGTTAAAAATATTTTTGTATTTTATTATTGTTTTTTGTTGTTGTTGTGTATGATGATATTGTGTATACTTCAGACATTGTTTAACCCACCAAAACTTCGTCACTTTTAAAACAAGGTAATCCAAATGATTTTTTGTATAATTTGTATAAAGTATGAGTGTTTCAAAAAAATAGAAGTCTAATTTTTAAAAAAAAATAAGCTGGCTTTAGAAATTGAACAGTAAATCTATAATAACCCTAAAATATTTACTTTAATGCTACTTAGAGGGTTGAGGCCTGGAGGCCCCTTACCCTCCCTCAGACTATTTAGTTTACATAGATATACAGAGAAAAAAAATTAAGCCACCAAACGACAGTAAAAATACTCTATCTAATTTGGAGTTGTAAATATTTTTTACGTATTCCTACAAAGACGACATTTATCTCCACCAAATCTTGGAAATCATACCTACTAATTAGAGGACATGTCGTCTTTCTTTTTTCATTTGACACATATGACGTTGTGCGCAGTTGGTCGATTTTTCTGTTGCCATCTATTGTACTTGACAACCTATTTGATTCCAAGTATATATTCTATCACATTATATTCATTTTATAACTGTAACAAAAAGTTTACAAGATTATAAAGTTTACCTTGTATTTCTGCATTATCCAGCTTTATTTTTACTTCAGGTATATTCACAAACCATGTATCCTCTACAGTAGAGGTTATCTCAGATTCTTTATTCATATTCTCCGCCATTTTATCTAAAATATGTATTAAACATGTTAAACTAAATACAGACACATTTTCCTAATGATGAAATTAATTATTTTTCAGGAGAAATTAGTTTAAAAACTAGTTCACTTGGCCCATTATTAGTAATGAATGTTAGAAATGGGCCAATTCATGAATTAAAAAATTGAGCTTTTAGGATCCCTTGTGGATGGGCAGGGAAAATATAATATTAATAATATAGCCACTAAAAATATAACCACCAAAAATATAACGGACTAAAATATAAGTTGCCAAAAATATAAAGATCCAAAAATATAATAATTTTTGAGATAATAATATAGTACAGAGAAGGAGGGGTTTCTCTATGCTTCTCTTCCCCAACCCCCCCTCCCCCCTCTTGCCAAAAAACAAGGAAAATATAGAGACGGAACTCTGTAAATCCTGGATAGAGACGGGAACTCTGTAATCCTGGATAGAGACGGGAACTCTGTAAACCCTGGATAGAGACGGGAACTCTGTAAATCCTGGATAGAGACAGGAACTCTGTAAACCCTGAATAGAGACGGGAACTCTGTAATCCTGGATAGAGACAGGAACTCTGTAAATCCTGGATAGAGACAGGAACTCTGTAAACCCTGGATAGAGACGGGATGTAAACCCTGGATAGAGACAGGAACTCTGTAAATCCTGGATAGAGACGGGAACTCTGTAAACCCTGGATAGAGACAGGAACTCTGTAAATCCTGGATAGAGACAGGAACTCTGTAAATCCTGGATAGAGACGGAAACTCTGTAAATCCTGGATAGAGACGGGAACTCTGTAATCCTGGATAGAGACCTGAACTCTGTAAATCCTGGATAGAGACGGGAACTCTGTAAATCCTGGATAGAGACGGAAACTCTGTAAACCCTGGATAGAGACGGAAACTCTGTAAATCCTGGATAGAGACAGGAACTCTGTAAACCCTGGATAGAGACGGGAACTCTGTAATCCTGGATAGAGACAGGAACTCTGTAAATTGGGAACTCTGTAAATCCTGGATAGAGAGGGGAACTCTGTAAATCCTGGATAGAGACAGGAACTCTGTAAATCCTGGATAGAGTCGGGAACTCTGTAAACCCTGGATAGAGATGGGAACTCTGTAAACCCTGGATAGAGACAGGAACTCTGTAAATCCTGGATAGAGACAGGAACTCTGTAAATCCTGGATAGAGAGGGGAACTCTGTAAACCCTGGATAGAGACGGGAACTCTGTAAATCCTGGGTAGAGACAGGAACTCTGTAAACCCTGGATAGAGACAGGAACTCTGTAAACCCTGGATAGAGATGGGAACTCTGTGAACCATGGATAGAGACTGAAACTCTGTAAACCCTGGATAGAGACTGGAACTCTGTAAACCGTGGATGGAGACGGGAACTCTGTAAACCTTGAATAGGTATGTGAATTCTGTAAACCTTAAATTAGAATCCTGATGGGTGTGCACCAACCAGACAATCTGCATTTTACCTAAATATCCAACCAAAAAGATTGAACTTCGAAATAAGGAACAAATTCTTCAGCAACCTTAACGTCAAAACCTGGAACAAGCTTCCAAATAACATCAAAGATGCTCCACACCTGAAGCTTTTCAAATCTCTTTATGACAAAACCTGGATGGAGATGTGGATAATTATAAACCAGAGAACTCTGCTAATCTTCTACTTGAAGTACCCAGGAGTCACAAACACAAACAAACAAACATACCATGCACTAGGATACCAGTTTATACTATACTGGCTTCAAGGAAAAGCAAGGCCATTTTCTGAAGCAATGTATCCGAGATGAATTTACAAGAACCAATATTCTTTTGTCAAATATATCCACTCCATTCCTATCCTTCCTTATTCCATTTGTCATTACTAAGGCTCAATTCTGACAATGAAAATCCTCAGAATGTTTAAATCCTGCTTAGCGCAGTGAATTCTTTTTTCATCAACCTGTAAGAATACTGTACAATCAATTTATGTTTGAACCTGAACCTTCAAACAGTTAAGTCCGACATTCCAAGCAAACTGAAAACTGCAGATCAGCTAAAAACTAGTAAAAGTCAGAGAACAAATTCACTGCTCTTTTTCTAAGGGGATGATGGAGATGGCATGTTTGATGTAGGAGAAGGGGGGGCCCTGCCTTCATTTTTGGTTCAAATCTTCCAATTTTTTGGCTGCACGCCTAATTAGGATCGGAATTCCTAAAATAAAATAAAATTGAATTTTAATGACCTCTAATAACCTCTAATGACCTCCACAATAGAAAGTATTTTAACTATGACTTAGTGCAAATCAAACCAAAGCTAGGAACCCAGGGAATACAGTAGCAGCAAAAAATCCAGTGTTTGACCTTCAAATGACCTCTTACGACCTCTAATAACCTAAATGACCTCCAAAAATGAAAATGTTTTAACTATGGCTTTATGAATATCAATTAAAAACTTGGAATCCCAGGAAAACAGTAGCAGCAACGAATCCAGTGTTTGACCTTCTAATGACCTTCAACGACCTATAATGACCTAAATGACCTCCAAAAATGAAAATGTTTTAACTATGGCTTTATGCATATCAAACTAAAGCTAGGAACCCAGGGAATACAGTAGCAGCAGCAAATCCAGTGTTTGACCTTCTAATGACCTCTTATGACCTCTAATGACCTAACTGACCTCCAAAAATAAAAATGTTTTAACTTCTATACATCTGTTGAGCTAAGATTGCTCTTCTAATGAAAGTCATTTTAAGGACTGGGACAGAGACAACAGAGAGAGATCCAGCCAACCCAGATGTTGTCCTGGTGTTTTATATTTGTATATTTGTGTTTTATATTTACATGAGAAATGTCTTCTGATTAGTATTTATCTGAAGGTCTGTACCATTTCAGATAACAATTATACAATGAGATTAGACCTCAATTATTGAGTAAATAGCCATTAGAACCACCAGGAAAACATCCTTAAAGTCTCATTTACATTTATTATGTTTATTGATATTCTAAGCCATTGTTGGCATTCTTATATTAAACCTAATAAGTATGTTTGTGATAGATTTTCAACCTGTCAAAGACCTGAGAGTTGCAGGAAAGTGATTCTATATTATATCTGTTACAGATAAATATATGAGTTCCCAGGTTAGAGCCGGACGTTTTAAAGGTGTGGAGAATAGGGGCGCGGCCGATATGCTTCGATCTGGCGAATCCCTAAGGTTCGTAGATCAACATTGAAAACCTGATTCTTTGCCCCCCTCCCTCCCCTCATTGGTATCTCCTGATAGAAGTAAAACCTTTTAGACTACAATTCATAAGTGAAGAATAATTATTTGTAGTCATTGCATGAATCATTCTTTACCTGAATTGTGA